TATACGTCATTTTGAATATATATATATAAAATCCAGGTATACAAATAATTCAGAACAATTTCCTATGTAAAAATGACTTCAAACCTAAAGCAGATAAAGATCTCTGCTTGAGAGGTTCCTTGAAAAAGGAGGATCTTCAACAGACACTGAAAAGAACATAGAGACAAGGCCTGGTTGGTGCCACCACAAAAAAGGCTCAGCTTCTATATTGTGTGGAATGGACCTCCTGATACGGCAGTATCTGCAAAAGGCTCTCCTTTGCAAATTGTTGTGTTTATAAGTTGTGTTTATAAGAAGGCTGATGATCTTTTAGGTATCCTGGTCCCAAGCTGCATAGGGCTTTGTAGCAACACCTTGAACATGGCAGCAAAATCACAGTGCACATTATTAATAGCAGTTGTATGTAGCGCTTAATTGTACTGTTTCACCACTTGGTTATTTTCTGCCCTAACCTCCATCAGGACAAAGGGTGGGATAGAAATTTAATTCATTAATCATCATCATCATCATCATCATCATCTCAGTATACTAAAGGCAATAAAATCTTCCCGCAAGCTGCACAACTGCCCAGAGGGAAAATGCAAGGCACATGTCAGATGCTGCTCCATTTCTTTGCTTTTGTCACTGCTTGCATGCTCAGAGAATGCAGGTGAATGAGCAGTGATGGCGAGGAAGAGGAGGAGTAATACGATGAGGCTCTAGGGTTCAGCACTGGGCCCCTTGCCTGGTGTGGGCCTTGGCAGGTGCCCAACAATCCCAACCCCCAATGTTAACCCTACAGCACAGCGTAGGCTGTTCAGAATAAATGAGTGCAGTGTCCAACAGGCAGAAAAGAGGTCTCAGACAGTGATGCATGGTGTGAGGATAAGGGTATTATATGTATACAAAAGGGTCTCTAGCTTCTATCTGTGAAATGTTAAGAGGAGGGCAGGCGAACCTCAAGGTTTGGGCTTGAATGTGGCCCTCCAAGCCTTTCTATTTGGCCCTTGGAACTCTCCCCAGGCCACATGCTTCACTGGTCCTGCTCTGTCCTGAGTGTTTTTGCCTGGCTGGCATATGTCCTTGAACTCTGATAATGCCTCTCACTTGCTGGGATGGAGAGACAGGTGTGTGTAGAAACCAGTCTTATATACAAAGGTAAAATTCAGAATCTTCTTTGCAGTCTTTTGCTTCTGGCTCTGCCCATACAGCTCTTAGAAGGCTGCCCAGGAGGGAACCCAACTGACCTCTACAATTCAGATCTTTAGGGTTCTATGTCATGGAAGATCCAACATCGTTGGGTTTTTAAAAAGTTTTAGATTCTTTTGAGGTACACGAGCTCTGTCTTCTAGTTAGGGAATGCTACTTACATGATGCTTTCTGCTGTGATAGACCAGCTTGCCACCTTTCCTGTTCAGGGGAAGTAAGGGGACCTCCAAAGATTCCAATTAAGATTTCCCCCTACATTTAAAAAGTTGAACCTACTGGCAGAGTGTGCCTATTTTCTGCCTCCTGTCAGCTTCAAGCCAGCTGTTAAGAGAAATTTTAACGAGTTCTCCTTAATGTACATAAAAGCCAAACTGGCACAGCCTGTTTGCAAGAGAGTTTGAGCATAAAAATAAATAAATGGGGGGTCATCAGCATTTGCATTCTGCAGCTTCAACAACAGTCATTAGACATGATCCTTGTATTTGATTTTTTTTTTAACGTAGTACAGCAAATTGGGTAAACTAGTTTTGCTGAGTAAGCCTTAATTCTTTTCCCCCCAATGTCCTATTTAGTTGCTATTCGAACAGATTGCCATGATAATCTACACTTTGGTTTCAACCTCTACATTTTTAAAATAATGACCATTTAGTTATTGGGAACTGTTTTTATACAAGAGAGGGTGAAACCATGGCAGTTCACCAAGTCTCAGAAGCAGCCAAGTGTTGTTTCAGAGATTCATGAAGCTTGTTGGTTGAATTTGCTATTGTGAAACTAGAGGCAAGAAAGATGTACAGTGGTGCCCCGCAAGACGAACGCCTCGCAAGACGAAAAACCCGCTAGACGAAAGGGTTTTCCGTTTTGGAGGCGCTTCATAAAGCAATTTCCCTATGGGCTTGCTTCGCAAGACGAAGCCCATAGGGAAATCTCCGGTCCCGCGAAGCCTGGGCGCGCTGATCTCAGCGCGCGCAGGCCTCCGGCATGCCGGCAGCTCTCCGCGAGCAGCGGCAGGCGCTGCCGCTGCTCGCGGAGAGGTCCGCGAAGCCTGGGCGCGCTGATCTCAGCGCGCGCAGGCTTCGGCATGCCGGCAACTCTCCGCGAGCAGCGGCAGCGCTGCCGCTGCTCGCGGAGAGGTCCGCGAAGCCTGGGCGCGCTGATCTCAGCGCGCGCAGGCCCGGCATGCCGGCAGCTCTCCGCGAGCAGCGTGCAGCGCTGCCGCTGCTCGCGGAGAGGTCCGCGAAGCCGGGGCGCGCTGATCTCAGCGCGCGCAGGCTTCGGCATGCCGGCAACTCTCCGCAAGCAGCGGCAGCACTGCCGCTGCTTGCGGAGAGGTCCGCGAAGCCTTGGCTGGACAGCTTTTGAAGGCAGGTGGGGGGGACAAGACTTTCGCCCCCGCCAGCCTTCAGAAGAGGTCCAGGACCTCTTCTGAAGGCTGGCGGGGGCAAAGTCTTTGTCCCCCTGCCTGCCTTCCCAGGAGCTCTTAAATTGCCCCGGACAGCGGAGAAGTCCTCCGCTGTCCCGGGGCAATTCTAAAATGCCGCCCGCCAGCATTTTAAGATCGCCCCGGACCGCGGAGAAGCCCTCCGCTGTCCCGGGGTTTTAAAATGCTGGGGGTGGAAGAAAAGCCCTTGTCCCCCAGCCTTCAGAAGAGGTCGGGGGACAGACTGTCCCCGGACCTGGTCTGAAGTCGGTTTCCCTAGGAACGCATTAATTGATTTTCAATGCATTCCTATGGGAAACCGTGCATCGCAAGACGAAAAACTCGCAAGAAGAAAAAACTTGCGGAACGAATTAATTTCGTCTTGCGAGGCACCACTGTATAAGTTTGTATCTTCTCATTCATTTCCCAACAAGGTAGGGTGCCTTCAAATATATCCCCTTTACTTTGAAAGGTTGGTTTTAAATAGAGCTTTGTGTCTTCCTGGTGAAATTTAAAAATGGGCATAGCACTCAGTGGCTGGTGTTGTTGGGGTTTTTTACAGTAGAGAATCTGATCTGAAAGTTGGCAGCCATTTTAACAACTTGAGCTATTTAATTGCTCAAGAAAATGGTGAGGGAATGATGATGCCTTACCATTGTTAAAAGCTAAGCAGATCTCACCTCAAGATTGCTTAGGTGCTTGATATAAGTTGCTCTGAGCTTCTTTAAAAATAAGTGTGATAAATATCAAATGGAATCACAAGGAGGCTGGGGAGTGAACTTTAAGGTTCATTCATCTTACTCTCCCACCCCCATCCATTAATTTATACCACATGTTTAATAGCTCAAATGGATTTGGATGCTTGGAAAAAGTGGCTATTGCGAGATTTCATACTGTTGGCATTTAGGATAAATTCCAAGCTGGTCTTGAAAATGCATTGTGTGAAGGGGGCCTTACTTTCATGTAAAAGTGCATGGGATCAGGGCCTCAAAAGTCCTGGGTCTCCACTTACCACCACCAGTGTTTTGCCACCAAGTACAACTGTATGCTGCTTTTCCTTCTCAAAAGAAGTCAAGGGACTTTTCTTTGCAACTACTGATAGGAGGAAAGAAGGAAACAGACCTTCCACCTTGGAAGACCTTCCAATTTGCATAGCAATCTGGAGGTGTACTGAAACTGATGAGCTGTCGGTACCATGTCTGAGGCCTTGCCCAGGAGCTGGTCTACTGTGACAGGCTGTTTCGGCACATGGGTTCTAAAAGTAGACCTTCCCCTCGGGGTAACATCCTGTGGGCTCCTGGCTTCATCACACTTTTCCATTGAGGGGGGCACAAACACATGGACGGCACTTAAAAGTAATATCAGTCAGCAGCAGAGTTGTCTAGTGATTGGATCCTTTATTTATATGCCACACAAAACTCTGTTAGCTGGAATCCATAAAAATTGTGGCCATTTGAACACATTTCTCTCGATATGTAGTCCTTGCTCCAGGGCCCCACTCAGCTCCATGTTAAAGGTGCAAACAAAATGAAGGAATGTATGCAATTCACACTTCCAGCCATGATTGTAATACTCTACATCCACTGTCAAATATAGCATGCCTCTGTCAGGGTGCTATCAGCGACTCCCGGCTGGTTGCCCAGGAAAGGATTAAAAACAAGGAAAAGTTTCTTACAGTCCTTTTCATTTCAAACTTTACAGGGAGAGGTTATAGAACCCAGCCTCTTGGATAATCGCATTATCCCAAGTGACTCTCCACGCCTCTTCCTCATTCGTCATCAACATTATCTCCTCTACGGGTACCGCTAACTGCCTTCTCTTTGAGCTCTTTGCTCTCCTACTTTTAAGGCTCGCCGGATTCTAAGAGATGGTGGGTCTGGAATGCTTTCTAGTGACAACATGTCAGCCAACTGCTGCTCCAGCTCCACCTGCTCCTCCTCTCCCATTATTTCCCAACTTTTCCTGTCATCTTCCTTTGAGCTGTGACCTCATGCAAACCACTGTGGTAAATCTATACTGTCTTCCTCTTCCTTCTCCCTGGAAGGGTCAGGATGGGGGGATGGTCTCCACCACTCCTCCTCCTCTGCACAGTCCCTGACATCCTAGCTGCTGGGAACCAGAAGTGGGTAGACTGCTATTGCATGTAGGTCCTCTTCTGGGGCTTCTCCTAGGTATTTTGTTGGCCACTGTGAGATGGTTGACTAGATTGGCCAATGGCCTGATCCAACAGGTTCTTCCTATGTTCTTAAGAACTATCTGAGTACCCAAGACATTCACATAGGAAGCTATGTTATACTGAGTCGGACTATTGGTCTGCCTAGTTCAGTTTTGTCCATGCAGACTGGCAGCAGCTCCCGCTCCAGGATTTCAGGCAGCAGTTTCTCCCAACCCTTTACGAAGATGTCAGAGATTTAAACAGGTACCTTCTGCATGCAAAGCAGATGCTTTACCACTGAACTACATCCATTACCCTATTACAGTGTTCAGTTGTCTGCATTGACCATTCATTATGGTAGACAACAAAAATCAGAACTGCAGCAGCAGCAACAATAAAACAACAACAGCAACAAATCAACTACAAATTGTACATTCCCCCTCCATCTCTTAATTAAGCCCTTAGGTCATGTTCACTTCTGATTCTTAGCTCAAATGTTATTTGGTTATGAGTTTTCTGGTATCCAGTTCACTGTTGGCCGTACCACCACCACCCTTTTTAAATGCCTAAATGCTAATTGTGAATATATTCCCATCTCCGAGCCAAGTCTCTGCAGTTTATCTTTCTAAGGCAAATTGACAATAAAATTTAAACAAATTGAATTTTAACTGCTATAAATAACCCTCTGCAAGACACTCTACACCCAAGGTCTTTGGTCTGTGGAGGGGCCTTCTTAGAGGCCTAAGCTTCAAGTCTGGAGTATGAAATCTCAGGCTTGAAGCTTAGGCAAATAAATTGGCTTGGAACAGATGCTCAAAATGTAATTTGGTCTTTGGGACAAACTTGAACAAATCTCAGATTTGCAAAAACTCATATTTTTGTAAATTTCTAGGGAGAAGGAGGAGTTGGCAGAATCATTACTATGAAAAGGAATGGATGGGATTTGGTTGAAATGTGGTGTCACCCCAGGCTTTTATTTTCCAACATAGCTATATATACCACATTCCAGCCAAAGTTAAGCAGTTTTTAAGTCTCAATGATTTTACTGGGAGAAGTAAGGTTTCCACTTATGTTTCTCCCATAGAAATCAGAGGGACTTAAAAAGTGCTCAACTTTGGCTCAATCATCACTCAGCCCCAAGATATTACAGTTTCTTAATTGCTTTCTCTTGATTTCATACAACTTCCCATTTGACTTGTGTGGTTTCTCATTTTCACGGAATGTTATTTAATAGCTGGATTTAAGTATTGCATGCATCCAGGTGTGTGTTGATGATGTATGTAACATATATTTCCGGTAAGAAATCTCTCTTAGAGTATGTACCTCTGGCAGAAACTTCGGTCATTTGAAGGCCCTTCAGTTATCTTACAATTGCATTGTCAAAAATGCACATTTATTTAATGTACTTCCTTTTTCTCCATTACTTGAAAGCTAGTTTGGTATAGTGGACAGGGAGCTAGATGGAGACTGCAGAGACCGGATTCCCTCCATAATCAAGACATTAACTGGGTAGTCTTGACAAGCCAACACCTTCAAGGCCAGCCTATCATTTGATGGGTGTTTAGAAAGAGAACCTTATGCTAGTTCGAGCTTCTTGGAATTGTTGTTTTTTAAGTGGGGGTGCTAATCCAATTGATAGAGATAGAGAAATAAAATTGTCCACTCCTGAAGATTTATAGATCCTCTGGAACTTCATATATCTCTGGGGCATAGAACGCTTGACCTGAATGGTTATTTCATTAATAGTGTTGTTGAACTATGGAATGGAAGGTTAATCTTGCATATTGATCCAATGGCACATGGCAGGGAGGGTCACATACGTCTACTGATTTATGGGAGATCAGATGTGTCAAAATTCCATAGATGCCCTACTGTATATAATAGGAAAAGAACTTTCCTGGTCCCAGAACAGCCTTGTCAATGACAAGGATGGAACGATGAACTAGACATCAGCAATTACTTTACCTCCAGCTTAAAGAGCCTCTCTTCAGAGGATGAATCAGAGAATACTTTGTAGATGGCAGATGTTCTTTGAAATTAAGTGGATGAAGGCCGGGCCAGCAATGAGTAGGGACCACAAATTGATAATCAAATTAAACAAATTGAATTTTAACTGCTGTAAATAACCATCTCTGCAATCAGAACTCAAGCTTTTGAGTCTGTGGAGTGGGTTGGCCCAATCAGAGGAGTATGTACACCATATGTATCACGTACAGAACTCTATAGAGGGAGGCATACAAAATTGTGCCGCGAATAGAGACATGTTTTGGCTGTTTGCCAAACTGGCACTTCCTTCTATCTTGAAGTTAAAACTGGGCACTACTAGGTTCATTAGCAAAGCCAGAGCTGGCTGTAGTTATGCCTCCATGCAGCAGGGTGCTTGGTGTGGGTTACTTGCCCTGTAAGTTTGGGATGAGCAGAATACACAGTGGCCTGCTTCAGACATAACACTAAACCATGGCTTAGCATTTCAGGAATGAGCATGCTTGAGCCTCTCCTCCCTTCCTCTGCAAGCTTGTACTTTTAGAATACAACTAAATGTCCTAACTATGGGTAGTTAAAAAACAACAACACCATGATAACACACGACAGTTTATTGGAGATCTAGCACAACCACAGTTAGAACAAATCACAATTCACTAAGTCCAGTGTCATAAAGTATGGTGGTTGATCCTAAAATGATAGTGGAAGCTATCAATCTTCTCTCTGAGGTTACCAGGGCAAGCCAATTGTGTCATTCCTGTTGCCCACTACCCTGATCCTATCAGGACAGTAATTACATGGGGATATCTCATGCAACTGGCTATTAGCTATGTTAACTAAATCAAAGCATGACAGTATACCTCTTAATATTGGTACAGGGGAAAACAACAAGGGACATGGCTCAGTGATAGAACATCTGCTTTACAGGCAGAAGGTCCCAGCATCTCTAGGTGGAACCCGGAGAGACTTTCATCTGAAACCCTGAAAAGTCACTGCCAGTTAGTATAGACAGTACTAAGCAAGATCGACCAGTGATATGACTCAGTACAAGGAAGCTTCCAATGTTCTGTGTTTCTATAACCCCATTATGGGCTCCTCAGAAGCACCTTTCTGGCCACTGTTAGAAACAAAAAGCTAGACTAGATGGATCCTTGGTCCATTTAGAAGGTCTCTCCATCCATTCTTAGGCTAAAATTTCATTTTTTGGACGGGACAAAAGCCCAGTGATAGAAGTATTGCACACAGAAGGTCCTGAGTAGAAACCCTAGCATCTGTAAGTAGAGCTGGCCAAAGCTGCCTAGAAAATCTGGACAGCTGCTAACCCACTTGTCTCTAAACAATACTGAGTGAGATGGACCAATGGTGTGACTCAATTCAATGCAACTTCATAATTTTATTTATTTTGATGAAAAAGGAGTGGAATTTAAGGCCCAGTACAAGTCTGCTGACAAGCGTTTAGGAGACCCTGTTACTATAGGCACAAAAGCTGTCATCCAACCCTGGCATCAGGAGGTCTTGCTCTTTCTGACACAATCTTGCATAAGGTAGAATGTATTTCTTCATTCATAGCACAACAAAATGTGCTGTACCCTCCAGATGTCCTTGCAGCCCACCATCTTAATGGCAGCTGCCTTGCAAGAATACAAATGAGGACCCGTCCATTTACTGAGTATTTATTCATTATTTTATTATGCACCTTAAATAAGGCAATAAAAACACTCCATCTTTAAAGCCCAAACAAATTATAAGAGATGCCCATTAAAAAAAAATACTAAACAAGGAAAGCTTTTAAAAAGAAGTAGAAAGTTTTGTACCTTCCGTCAAAACTTAGCGACTAATGGAGACAAGTGAACTTCCAAATGGAGATTGTCCACAAAGACAGTAGAACACACTTCCATAATGACTGAAACATGGAGAAGAGCATTATCAAATTACAAGAATTGTCACTACTGTAATGCACTGGTGGATGTTATTTTCATGAATTCATATGTTTTTATGCTTTTCTTTGTATACACAAAGAAACCCAGGGTTGTGCCTGGGTTATGGACCACCTCAAGGCACAGGTCAACTGAGCTGGCACTCCCTAGACTTCCCTTCTGCTCCCCACTTGGCTTCAGGACAAAAACGTCCACTCATACCCCTTTACTGGGTACCCTGATGTTGCACCTTCTTGAGGGTAGGGGTGATGTGGTGCATCACCTCAAACCCAGAAATGGACTAAGGATTCCACCCAGTGCCTCATCTGCCAAAAGTTGTGATGATTGCTATGGAGAAGGCAAAAGACTCAAGCAGGCCCAATTTGTTTGCAGGCCAATTCCTTCCCAGCTCTGAATATGGCTGACATTTTGAACCACAGTAAGGTTTTTTGTACAAGTTGCCTAAAGAACAGCATATGGGTTGGGCGAGTGGGTTGGTCTTTTGTCAGCTGCATTGCTGATCTCCCCGTGCAACTGGCTTTTATCCTTCAACGGTGGGTCAGAGTGAAGACTTGCTCAGTTTGATCTACCGCCAAAGCTCCGCCCCCAGCCAAGGCCCTGATTGGGCAAAAAAAAAAAAAATCAAACTATTAGACAGGCTATCCCAGGATCCCCTCTGGCTGGCCATTAAGGATCCCAGCAGGCTGCTGAAGGGCAAAAGCCTTTTTTGCCCTTGGGGAGGGAGTGTGATGAGCCACAAAAGCTGCTCACCCAAAACTGGGTAAGCGGCTCTTTCCAAAAGTGGGAATTAGGTAGGTTTGCTTTAAACTGTTAACTGAAACAAAATTCTCTCCCATCCTATACAGGAGACATTCCCAGCCCTAGCTGGAGATGTCGAGGATTGAACTTGGAACTTTATGCAAAGCATGGGGTCTACCTCTGAGCTGTGGCCCTTCCCCAATTTGCTAAACTAGGAACACACTTTATTGGAAATATTCAGCTGAACTTGTGTGTAAAAGTCCTTGAGAGAAACAAAAGCAAAAATCCAATGCTGAGAGAATAACAGGAACTTTTGCTGGCCTTGTGATTATCACCGTCCGGGCGGACTCTTTGCCAAACAGCTGGAGGATCACGGGTTCAATGAAAGTTAGATTGAGAACGACTTTATCTTCCAAGGTCTAGAGACAAAAGGATCATATTTTTGAAGTGCCCCCCAATTCCCCATTGTTTAGAAAGTCATAGTTGGAAATCATTATCTGAAAAATAAATCTAAGCAGCCTGAAACTCGCTGCTGGTATGCACATCATAAACATGCATGGAGTCAAATCTCTTCTGTAAATTAACGGGGTGGGGGAAACCGGGGATTGGGGTAGGAGGTGGGGGAATGGGTTGCAGATGCTGAACCTAAACA